CATAGAACTGATAGAAATACAACTATTAAATGGCTAGACGTTAATCAGATACGATACAGAATAGTCAAAAGCTGTAAGGAAATTGAAGCTCTCGATAGAGATTCTACTGATATATTTTTTCCATCAGTAATAGATAGTCATTATCCGAATAGACCTGAAGAAATTGAAACGATGTCTTTGTATGAATTTGTACAATGGCACGACGTAACAAAAGTCAAACCAAAAAGTAAAAAATTAATGTATTATAAAATAGATAATGGTTATTATTTGAAACAGCGACAGCGGGAATGTGTTATTAATCACTACAGATATGATGTCAATACGCAACCAGAAAAGTATTTCTTTTCGTTACTCCTTATGTTCAAACCGTTGCGGAACATACAAGATCTTAAAAATGGATATGATACTTATGCAGAATCATTTTACAATAACAAATTACACCTTGAAAAAGCACTGGAGTATCATGAAAAATTAGACGAACTGAAGAATTCATTTGAAACTGCAAAGCAATTACTTCAACAACATTTAGAGGATTTAGAAAAACAGAATACGTCTCAAGATGATCACGATAATCCAATAGGTGTACAAAATATTATTCAAGCTGGTGATGCGATGCAAGATTTTAAAGATCTTGGTGACAAACAGGAAATCGATGTATCTGAAATGATTTCAAAATTGAATGCGGATCAAAGAAGAGTATTTAATAGAGTCACTGATACTATATCATCAGATAAAGAAATACTACAGTTATACGTTAGCGGAGAAGGAGGTATTGGCAAAAGTTTCTTGATTCAAACAATTAAATCTTGGATAAAACAAAATCTCAACAAAGATACTGCTATAACAGCACCTACTGGTATGGCAGCATTTAATGTAAATGGTTTGACAGCTCACAGATTATTCCAATTACCCGTTGAACATGGTCGTACTCCTAAATATAAACCATTAGCTGATCATGTTTTAAAAATTTTACGAACAGATCTTAAAGATGTTAGTCTCATTGTAATTGATGAAGTGTCAATGATATCTAATATATTTTTTATGTATATAAACTTACGACTATGTGAAATATACAATAGTACTGATTGTGATGATGGTTGGTTTGGTCGAAAACACGTTCTTTTATTTGGAGATCTGCTTCAGTTACCTCCTGTACTTGAAGATCCTGCTTTTATACACTTGACAGAAGAAAAAATTCGTAAATATCTTGGTTCTTTAAGTGCTACTAATCTATGGACTACTTTATTTGATTATGATGAATTGACGATTAATATGCGTCAGCAAGGAGACGGATCTTATCGTGAGTTACTTTCGAGAATTCGCGTTGGTTTGTTAATACCATCTGATTGCGATATTCTTGAAAAAAGAAAAATATCTTTCAAAGGTGAGTCTTTTGAGACAAGATTAAACGAATTATGTGATTTCATTAATAATTTCACATCTATCGTTTGTTTATTACCTAACAATCACATGTGTGATCAATTAAATGCTGCAATGTTAAATCGTATTACTTCGAAAGAAATATTTTTAATTGCTGAAGACACGATTGATTGTATTTCATATATGAAAAAAAAAGTAGAAAAGGTATTGTCAAATAATGATGACGATGATACCAAAACAGCTGGACTGTCAAGACGAATTACAATTAAAATTGGAGCGAAAGTTATGATAAGACGTAATATTGATGCTAGTTTGGGACTTGTAAATGGTACAATTGCTACAGTTATATCAGTTTCACAGGATAAAACTACTGATTACATAGAAAAGATAAAAGTTCATTTACCATCTGGTTTAGAGTATTTCATTGAAAGAGTGGGTGTTAAGTTTCCAGTGATGGATAGAGTGTATGTTACTAGAAAACAATTTCCATTATCTTTAA